GTATTGTTTTTATCGTAAGGCGAAAACCTTACTTGTCTCTCTACACGAAAAGCCACCAGCGTTGTCCCCTAAAAAAAGGTCATAAAACTACGTCATCAAGCACGGGCCCCAGAAATAAAACACAAAGAAAAGCACAGCCACGCAGATGCTTCCTCATGGTAGCCGGCGGGGCGCTCAAGGTCAAAGCGGACGGGCCTTCGACATAAAGGACAAAGAAAAGCACATCAACGCAGAGGATTTGTTATGGAAGTTGCCGTAAGGCCGGTGGGGTTCGCCGCGCCTGCGCAGAGGGGGAGCCTGATGTCACCACTGGAATGCCCTGTGCGAAAGGAAGACGGCGAGCTGATTGTGAGATTGCTGTGCGTGTAAGAATGCTTTCGCATTGCTACAAGTAAGCAGTCTTAAGGGTCTTCGGCGAGTTTTATTATGCTACTGTTGATTCCACAAGGGTAAGGCTATCTGTGAACCAAGGAGTAGGCGAGGCTGCCACGCAGACAAGTCCTGCAATGATAAGCTTTTGGGGGCATTATGTTTGGGGATATAGGGATCCGATCCTGCTATGGGCACCGCGAGTATCTGACACTTAGCTTCCAGAAGGTTGCGCATAAATGCCTGGGAAGACGTCCGGAGTTAAAGTCCTAGCTGGGGTTATTTTTGTGCGATCCGTTTCAGAGACTGGAAGAGACAAGCGAAGAGCAGCGCACGTTCCAGCAACGCCCGAAACAGACTTAAAGAAATTGCTAAGCTAGTTCCCCTTCTCGATGAGAAAAACAAAAGCAAAAGAGATATTAAAATATCGTGAAATAAATTACCGCTACCTCTGAGCACGCTGCGTACGTTTCTCCAAGTTATTCCGATCGGTGATTTGTAAACCTTCGTCGTGTACACCAAGTCCTAGTTCGTTAACTTGCGCGGGAATTCGCACTTGCACGGGAACTCGATCTTCGTAGAGTTAAACGTCTGCATATGCCCAGTATGTCAGGCAGCACCATCAGCTTGGCGAGAAGGCAGTGCCTTAACTAGGTATATAGAAAAGGCAACGTCTAAACTCTGAAGTGAGTAGGATCGGCAGGACTGATAGCAACATTAAAATAGCAAACCCTCGCTATCTTGGGCTAATGCGTTCGCGAGTCTATGGAAAGCCATTTGCAGGAAAATGTTTCGAGTCTTGTCTTCAAATTGGGCTGCAACGCAGTCCTACGTTTATAGGTCACGGAATAAACGGGACTAAATCTAAAACAAAAAGTAGCTGCCTAGAACGAGTCAATAAACACCCGACAGACTGAGAACTCGAGGGAATTAAACGGAATCAGCATAAGTTGAAACGGCGTTAAGCCGGTTTTAATTATGGCCAGAAATTGTGCAGTGAACGCTGCTTTGCCAGGTTAAGAGCCTCCCTATAACGGCTGAAGCAGAAGACACATGAGCGATGAGAACGGGCGCCACGCGGCAGCACGCGCAAGTATATGTAGAAACCGGTGCTGGGCGTCCTATGCGCCACTTCCATGCGCCGCCGCATCGCTCGGATCTGGTCGATACAGACAGAGCCGCGCGGTGCGCACGTGGCGCGCCTAGCGAAGAGCTGCGAGCGCCGCGCGGCGCCCATTTTCACTGCTCCTGTATTCCATGCTTGAGGCCATACATTATAAAAGGTTCGGAGTCCCAAGTTCATATATGGACGCAAGAAAATGCAGTTGGTTCAATTTGCGTACGCTTGCTGAATCCTTTCCCACATCTCAAGAACTGTCGTGTTTGATTCCAGCGAACGTTGCTGTTCCTAACCCGTTTTCTCGCTACTCTGTACTCCTCTGAAGTTTGTTTGAATTAAGAGCTTAAAGAGCACAGCTAAAGAAACCAAGTTTACCGCGTTCAAAGTTCTTGCGATATGATTCGTCCTTCGGAGTTCACGTAGAAAACATTTTTCCAATTCAAGGGGGATTCACAAGTCACTCAGACAGTATACTTTGCTATGCAAACCTGACTTTCAGGAATTGAGAACAGTATTCAGTTTTTAGGGATTTATTATTAAGACTAAATGAGGGTCGGACAGCCCTTAGACATTCCCTTGATAGCGATGGAGATTTCTTAATGATATAAATAAATATGACTGTCTGGTATATTTTAAACGCACTGGGAGGATATATTATATTAAAACTACTTAGAATATAAAAGTGACGAAATATTGGCAGTAAACTGCTAGCAAATATAACACGCCCAGGCGTGTAAACCGTTGTCCCATAGCGGACACGTCAAAAGGTGTTCGTTTTACACGCAGCCATCAGTGTTATTCGTCTACACATGAGGTGCCGTGTAAACTTTAACACGATAGACAGTGTCTGCCTTCCACGAAACACGGCTGAACATGTTCCTCATAAAACATGGCGGCCAGCAGCCGAGTACAGGCGAGAGACGAACCCAGCGAGCCTTTCTGCCGAAGTGAGAGCGGTGAGAGCACACAGGACGCGCTTGCTTTTGTTCGATGTCTTTAATGCGCAATAAATACAGTCTCCAAGCGCTAGCATCGTACCTCGTAGAGCAAGGATGAGGTGACTAACGGAAGACGGAGCCGCCCCGCTGGTACCCCACCTAAGCCTCGGCGTCGCTGTCTTTTACGCTCTGATATTCTGCACAACTTCGCGTACTCTTCCGTCGGCTTTTAAGCGGACGAAACTGGCAAAACTGCGTCGCTGCGATAGATCCGCCGACGTAGCTACGTACAAATACGTGCGTAGGCGGCGTCGGTAACTACGACGGGACTGCTGGATAAATTAACAAATGGCGCTCTTCTTAGAGAATAGATAAATGACTCGCGCAAACGAAACATAAGAATAGGGCGACGACTCGCGCCACCGAGGCGTAGCGATGTTGGGTAGCTACAACGCAACAGCTAGACAGACAAACGAATTGCCAACTTGGATGCATATATATCTCGAGAAAAATATTTGGAAACAGGCGGAAACCTGCGCCACCTAATGACATTTCCAGCAGGTTATGAAAAAAAAAAGTGAATATGTTAGTACGCTGCGAACGATCACGAGTAGACAGCAACCCTACATACATCACAGACAACACGAGAGCACCACACAATGCTAGAAAGTCCCGTGTATTGGGCGAATATTTGGGGTGAAACACACGCTATTTACACAACTTACCATAAATTTACACCATGAGTAACGGATAATTCGTTCAGAAATCATGCGAGGTTGTAAAAAACGTGTTTTGGTTCGGTCATACACGCATAACCGTGTAGCCGACCTCGATAACACGCATCGCCCCCGGCGACGACCGCGGCATTGCCGGCTATCGAAGCACCGGAATGGTTGGGGACTAATTATTCGTTCCAAACAGTTAAAATGGATATACGCTAGGACAGATCAAGGGCAGCCCGATCAAACTGGTTCTGAAAGAGGGTAGCACACCGGTATTTTGCAAAGCCCGACAAGTGCCGTTCGCGTTGAGGGAAGCCGTGTCACTAGAGCTGTAGTCACTCGTAAAAACAGGCGTTCTTGTACCTGTACAGCAAAGCGACTGGGTTATGCCCCTTGTAGTTGTACCAAAACCGAACAACCAAGTCCGGGTGTGTGGTAATTTCAAAGTGACGCTGAATCCGTGCCTACGTACGGATCATTACCCCCTTCCCGTTATGGAAGATTTATTTGTAATGATGTCGGGGTGCCGGTATTTCACGGTTCTTGACCTCTCCACTGCCTATCAGCAGCTCGCACTGCATCCCGAAGTACACTCTTAAGTCGTTGTCAACACACACCTGGGACTGTTCAAGTACACGCGCTTACCCTACGGCATCACGAGTGCGCCTTCGATCTTTCAAGCAGTAATGGATGACGTGTTAAAAGGGCTGGACCGCGTATCTTGCTATTTAGATGACGTTCTGATAGCCGGGTCCACTCTTGAAGAGTGTTTCGAGAAAGTAGAAAGTGTCCTGTCACGGTTCCAGGAAAGAGGCATACGATTGAAGAAAGAAAAATGCAAGTTTTTTCAAACGTCTGTCCCCTACCTTGGGCACATTCTTGATGAGAAAGGCATAAGGCCGTCAGATGGAAACGTGAAAGCGATAAAGGAGGCGCCTTCTCGAACGAATGAAACCCAGTTGCGAGTCTACCTTGGGCTGTTAAACTATTATGGGAAGTTTGTTCCTAACATGGCTGCCATGCTGAGGCCGCTGTACAATGTGCTGAATCACGAAAAAGGGTTTCAGTGGTCACATGCAGCGGAGCAGGCCTTCCAGCTAAGTAAAACTTGGCTCACAAAAGGAAACGTTTTGACGTACTACCACCCAACAAAAGAGCTTGGACTGGTGTGTGACGCGTCGCCTTACGGCGTGGGCGCCATTCTGTTCCACACAATCGGAAAAGATGAAAAGCCAATCGCTTACGCTTCCAGAGCATTAAGCACAGCTGAGCAAGGTTATGCTCACATCGAAAAAGAGGCCCTTGCTGTGGTATTTGGCCTCAAAAAGTTTTCATAAGTACCTGTTTGGGCGCAGCTTTGTCATCTATTCCGTTCACCAGCCATTAGCTGGTCTTTTGGGTAACGGCAAACCCGTTCCAGTGATGTCAGCTGTCCGCATGCAACGCTGGGCTTTATTGCTCGCTTCGTACGACTACCGGTGTGTGTATCGCAAAGGCAGCGATGTTGGAAACGCTGACGCACTATCACGGTTGCCGCTAGCTAATGAGAAAGATGTATCAGATTACGTACACTTCTTCTCACTGGTTGATGAAGTGCCATTATCTACTGTCGAGATCCAGAAAGGCACACGCACTGACAGTGTGCTGTCAAAAGTGCTGATGTACACAATGCACGGTTGGCCCGCGCATGTAACTGACAGTTAGCTGTCAGCGTACTTTCTTAAGCGACATGAACTGTCGGTAGACCAACAGTGTGTCACGTGGGGATCGCGTGTGATAATTCCCCAAAACTTGCGTAAACAAGTGTTACATCTGTTGCATGAAGGACACCCGGGTATGACGCGCATGAAAATGCTCGCCCGTAGCTATGTTTGGTGGCCTCAGCTAACACAAGACATTGAACATCTTGTCAGAAGCTGCAGTACGTGCCAGTTGACGCAAAATGCTCTACCCAGTGCACCACTACAGACGTGGGGTTGGCCGACTCGCAGATGGCAGCGAATTCACCTAGATTTTGCTTTCACGGACAATGAGTGGTTGTTGGTGCTTGTTGACGCCCATTCGAAGTGGGTAGAGGTGTTTGTGATGACGTCAACAACAGCGGACAAGACCATCGAAAAACTGCGGAGTGTCTTCGCATCGTATGGGCTTCCGGAAGAAGTGGTTACGGACAACGGGCCCCAATTTACCGCAAGGACCTTCGCGGACTTTTTGCGGAAGAACGGAGTGCGTCATACAAGGACTCCACCGTACCATCCGGCCTCGAACGGGAGCGCCGAGCGCTGTGTGCAGACAGTCAAGCGAGACCTGCTGCGCCAGCTTCTCGACGAGAGAAAAACAGGTGTCAAGAAACCCTTACAGCATCGGGTCGACCTGTTCCTTTTCAGGTATCGGAACACGACTACCGCTACTACGGGGCAGACACCTGCGGAGCTGTTTCTCTCGTGGAAACCTCGCACACGTCTGAGCCTTCTGCAACCAAGCCTGGAGGGTCGCATGCACGAGCGGTTCTCCAGGGCGAAGAGGACAGCAGACGAACGAAGAGGCCCGTGGACATCGTTCGAAGTGCAAGACCGCGTTCTAGTACAAGGTCTTCGTCCTGGTGACGCGAAGTGGTTGCCGGGCGTTATAGAAAAGCGGTGCAGTGCTTCCACCTATATCGTTTGTGTGGGACAAGAAAACAGGTTTGTGCATGCAGACAATTCACGTCCGTGTTCTTTTGAAAGTGCCGAAACTGTGCCGAGTGCGTTTCCGTGTTCGGTTCAAAGTTCAATTGCAGACTTTATGCCGGAGCCATCTACCACGAGGTCTCCCCTGCCAACGACGGAGACCCCGAGCCCTGCAGCACCAACACCTGAGCCACCTGAAGATGCGCCTTCTTCGGATCAGCGGGGTGCAAATCCGCACCCAAGTTGCACATCGCAGTCACCGCATCGAGCTGCTGCGTCACCTCAACAGCCAGAAGCTCTGCGACGCAGTACCCGTACTAAGAAGCCCCCTGATTGGTACAGACCGTAGAGACTGTGTCACGTAATTAAGGGGGAAGGAATGTGGTGTCATGCAGACGCGCCGTGACGTCACCCCTATCGTGGCTATTGCTTATCTATAAAAGCGCTGGGAACGCGAAGCTCAGTGTTCTTGATACGGCCGCACTTGCCGAATAAACATGTTGCCTTAGTCGCTCTGTCTCCTGCTTCGTCCACTGCGGCTACAACAGGAAATATAATAGAAAAAACAAAAAAAAAACTTCACAGTTTTCGGAATTAGATTTTTTTTTTTTAATTTTGCACTCAATATTGTTTTACAGGACTTCGAGTACCGATGAAAAATTTAAAAATAAAAATGTATTTTAGGTTTCACGTTTAATTGGCTCAGAAATTTACGCAAAATAGTCTCGCAAATTTTGACATTACCACGTGACCCTCCTGCTTCAAACAAGGGTTGTACGTTCGAGGGGCATCGCGCTCTTAGTTTTAGTATCAACATATTTCCAGAAAAAAGGTTTAGAATGAATCACCCGAACTCCACGCTCGATCCAGGATTTTTAAAAACTGGGCTCTCCTTCCACATTGATTGCCTCAATTTATTCAATATAAACATGTTTCCTAGAAAGTCTAATTGAATACAGAAAGATCCATTGCTGGTTTGTTTGGGAATGCGTTAGCATGCCCCTTCGAACAGCCGCACTCGCGCCCCTTTGGGAAACGCTAACGCTGACCCCTTCACTTTTTTCTTTTGACTTTTTCTTTTGCGTCCTCTATTTTTTCCTGCCTCTTTTTAGCCTCCTTACGCGGTCAGTGCTAGCGTTTCCTAAAGCGGGACGTGTGTGGCGTTTTCCAAGCGTCATGCTAAAGGATTCCCCAAGAATCCACCAATGGATCTTCCTGTAAATGTTCTCACCCCTTTTTTGTACTCAGTTTCTCCGAGTACGTCGACGCCCTTGGATACATTCATCCATACCACTCGTGAAAGCAACCGCCTCCATATCACTCGTGGAGTGAACCACATCCATCGTTTTAACTACAGCCCATGCACCGCTACTACGGAAACCCAGAGCAAAAAACAACCGGCGACGTCAGAGCGGCAACTGAGCACACCCGCGTTCCAACGCGCCGGGGCACAACACCTCCTAAATAACAAAGCCGTAGTGCTGAAAGAGATGGCGTTATCAGAGAAGGCCAACACTGGGCACAGATTGGACACAACGATTGCGTTAAAGTTGGGCTCAAACTTGACACGAAATAGAGCGCTGACGCAGCACTCGTTTCCAATCTGTGCGTTGGCCTTCTCTGATTAAGCCATCTCATTTAGCACTAGGGTTTGTCATCTAGAAGGTGTTGCGCGGCCGCTCCTTTCTGCATTAAGATGGAAATTTGGGCCAGTTGGTTCATGATCGAATATAGGCGCCTACTATGATGGCGATTCGGGCCAGTTAGCTCATGATCAAAGGTAGGCACCTATCGAAGATAGGCGCCTATCTTCGATTCTCCTTTCTGGCTCCGCGCCAGCTGTGCGCGTGACTTTGCCTAAAACAAAAGGGCTCGTTTTGACGAAAACCCTGCGGTGTCTGTAAGTTTGTCAGCACCGGAGAAAGACGGACAAGTTGACGGGTGCTCACGCCAGCGCTTCGGACCAGTGGGAGTGTCACAAGCGAAAACTAAAAAACGAAAGACATCATAGGGTTTAACGAGCCTTCTAATGCTAACGTATTAAAAGTAATTCATTTTCGTTAATTAGTCATTTATTAGTTAGATTTTATCTTGAACACAAGTCCGTCCTTCCGTAAAACTCACCTGCGCAAACCGCATTTGTTTAGTTTTTATTGAATTTTTTTTTCAGAAAAAATTGTATTCCATTAAAAAAGGAAAACCTTTCTTGTATTGTATAGATCCTTTAAGGGGATACTTCAACAAAATTAAAAATATCCGCCGTGTTCAGAAATAGGCTGAATGTGATCCAAAATACCCGTAAATGGCAATCACGAGTTTGTATTTTGAGCCTGATGGCAGTATTTTTCGTTATAGACGGCCCACTCTGGCTAGTGCCCGCAGAGCAGCCAGCGGAGACAATGTCATATCTGGCGCAATCACGACGTAGTTTGTCTCGGGATGAGCAAGGCTGCAACGAGGCTGACGTCGCCTGGATGCCCTAGCGGCTCTAGCCACCGAAGCGGTCGAAGAACTCCAGCGATCGGGCTACTCCAACTAGCCGCAAAGCTGTTTTGTATGAATTTTGAGTGGCGGGTTAATCTTCCATCATCTTGTAGAGGGAGAATAGCAACGTCTGGGACACACAAAAGAGAGTCCTGCTGAGTTTGGAGTTGCTCCTTTCCCTCTTCTCTTGTGCTGTCCGTAGAGCTGTCGGGATGACGTCGTGTTCAAAGCATGTATAGTTCTAGGTGAGACAGTTTTCGTATACGTGTCAATGTTCCTATTCCCGGCGAAAGTATTTCTTGGCATTTCCGGGTAGAGGAGGAGAGTCCGCCCATAGTTTTATTCAGCGCTCAAAATAAGAGAGGGAACGCGCGCCTGTACCTTTCACTACATTGCCAAGAAGAGTTGTGGCGGAGTATAGACGGGTATTACAAACGATGCTTAGTGACATCCACCAGTCGCTCTTTGCTTATCGTTTAACTTTTTTTAATTACTTTTCGTGTCTTTTCTTTAAGATATTGGTGTGTCCAATGTGATACTGCTCCTTTGAACACGTATAGACCACACAATACGCGCCGAAATTTCGTTGTAGTATCCCTTTAACTCCAATGAGCCCAAGAAACGGGAAATGTATTTGTCCCCTGTCATGCATCGCTGCACTGATGACATTCAAACGTCAGATGACTGGGGTTCTTAGCATTATAGAGAAGGCTTCCAATTTCCTTTTAAATTTTCTCAGGAGTCAGGGTCATGAGATATAGCAACAGAATCGCTCAAATAGTATGATAATCGAAATTTCTTAAGATATGCGTTTAATTCATTTCATTTGTGTTTGTACTCAGTTGCCATTGTTTGGTCTTTTAATCAACTTAATTTCTGAAATAGTTTATTCCAATCTGTAGTTGGTCAATAGAGCTCAAGTGTGACTCATGTTTCCTAGATCTGCTATGATTTCCTACAGGATGTAGATGAAATACACTTTTGTAGCTTCTTTTATGCACAATTCCTACAATCCAAGCTCGTGAACAAGAATCTTGGCGCGATCCCACTGAGGTCGAGTGAAGACACAGATTAAACACGAGCGCTGCTTCAGCGTTCAGCTGGGCATCGTATCCAATCAACGCGTGGAAACACGCTTGGCATCGGCTCGAGTGCAAATTGCTGAGTTAGCGCCATTCCACTCTGATGACGTTTCATGGGGGAAAAAGAGGACGTTCTGAGGACTTGATACGTCTCGGTTGGGTTCGCGAATGCCCAACTCTCATTGACTGCGGAGCGCGAATAAAAGACTCGGGACTCGCCCTGTTAAGCGAGCCCGGTCAGTGAAGGCTTAAAAAGGCGCTTCCTGACTTGTGCTTTAGTAAGAAGGTGTGCTAATAAGACTCTCGGTGCTTGGCACCCTGCGTTTCATGTATTTGATCAATCAACTGAAGAAAGCCGTGGCATATTAGATGCGTTCTTCGTCGTTCTTCTGAATTAAATGTCGTAATTAGATTGACTGATCATTAGACACGCGGGAGTCACCACTGCCTGCTCATCTTCATTTAGCAGCGACTAGAGGCTCCACGGGGCGGTATTAATTTCTCTAACCGTTCAATTGGATTATTTTTGAGCCCTTATATCGACGACATTGATCTACTTTCCGAGTGTCATTCTAGAAAGCTAGCGTGTAAGCCTTCTTCTAAAAAGAGGAGATCTATATTATGTTGATGGTGCCAAGCGGAAGATGCCACGAGCTAATACAGTTAAGTGTTTTTTAATTCATTTTTTTTCTACAAAAAAAAAAGTAGATCACTTACAATTTCTTCGCGAGACTTGAGTGCTCCTCTGATAAATCGGTGAAATCGCTACGATGAAGCTTCAGCCTCAGGATTTCTTCTAATGCGGCTCTGACGACACCATGATCCGGGACCACGTCTTTAGGTACCTGTGGGAGTTTTAAGCGAACAGGACCGCGTTAGAGAACGTTTTATTTTATATATTTTTATTACTGATAGTGGTTTTGTACGCAATCTAGTCCAAATATAATACACTTTCGATCTTTCTATGAAAATCAGTACTCCGAAATGAGGCCAGGTGTTGGCCTCATTTCGGAGTACTGATTTTCATAGAAAGATCAAAAGTGTACTTATGCTTCGACTAGATTGCGTAAAAAAACGCTATCATAGATGTGACGTCAAGCAAAGAGTCAGTGACTGGAACAATTGAAGCACTTCCGGCGAACGACAAGGCGCTAATATCAGCAACGTTGCTCCAAACTTATCAGGTTGGAGCTGTAATAGAAATAGGAATGACCATGCAGGCGAGCTGGTGAACATTCAACATCTTGAGCACCCGATACTTAAAAACAAAAAAAGTGGACAGCACAGGTCTTAAGGCGCGTTAACACTTGCCATACGCAACGGTCGCGCGACTGCTTTTTGTCGTAGAAGCGACCGCCTTGGGGCAGTCGCTTCCAGATCAATTTTTCGAACTGCTCGCCGAGTCTTCCGGCGACTGAACCATTCAGCGGCGCTTTTTTTTATTTTTTTATTTAATTAATTAATTAATTAATTAATTAATTAATTAATTAATTAATTAATTAATTTCAAAATACTGCGACCTCGATGAGGTAATCGCAGGAGTGGATAGAAAACATACATATACATTGAAAAAGGCCATCGATTAAAGATGTACACACCCTACGAAACAAAACTTAGAAAACCGTGAAAAATAAAATATAAAAAAGAGTACAAAAACAAACACATACACTTCAATTACAGATTCCAGGCACTATACCAGAACACCTACTGTATTTCTAATTCAAACCTATCAAAATCGAGACAACGAACTGATCCATTTATGTTATTCCAGTTTTGTATCGTTCGAGGAAAAAAATAATATTTAAAACAGTTAAGGTGGGCTCTGTACGGTACAAGATTTAATGGATGGAAGCTTCGAGTGCGTGATTCAGTAACAAAACCAACACATTTTTCTCGATTAAGTGCACAGTTATTATTCACTATTTTGTGTAGGAGCTTGAGCCGTTCTACAGCGCGTCTAGATTCAAGAGGCGTAAGTCCTATGTCAGTCATAGTAGATGTAGGAGAAAAATTGTGGTCATATCTATTACAAATGAATCTAGCTGCCTTTGATTGTATTGCGTCAATCTGCTTAATATCACCCTTTAGATACGGACCCCACACCACACAACCATACTCTAAGATAGGTCTAATCAAGGTTTTATACGCGGTTATTTTAACTTCCCTAGTTGAAGATTTTAAAGTTCACTTGACATATCCTAGCCTTTGCAGAGCACGAGAACAAATAGAACTGATGTGCTTATCCCATTTGAGACTAGGCGTGAAAAAAAAATACCCAAATACTTGTATTCATGAACTTGACGCAGAATTATATTACTAGTACCATACCTAAAAACAGACGGTTCCTTCTTATTAGTAAATGACATAACTACATGTTTCTCAAGATTAATTTCCATCTGCCACTTTTTACTCCAGTTAAAAAAACTGTTCAAAAGAGTCATTTAGCAAGGCATGGTCACCTACCGAGTTGATTTCGTTGTACAAAACGCAATCATCTGCATAGAGGCGAATTTTAACTGGAAGACCATTTGCGACGTCGTTAATATAAAGTAAAAACAGAAGAGGTCCTAAAACTGATCCCTGCGGGACGCCGGAACCAATTTAGAGATTGCTAGAATGAACACCCTTTACGAAACAAACTGTAATCTATTTTTTAGATAATCTTCGATCCAATTAACTAATGACGTATTATTTAAAATCGCTTGTAGTTTCTGAAGAAGCTTGTGATGTGGCACCTTATCAAAAGCCTTAGAATAATCTACAAAGGTGGCATCAAGTTGTCCTCTTTTATCTAAAGCTAAAGCTATGTCGTGAGTGAATTCGAGAAGTTGGGTTGAGGTGGAGTAGCCACAACGAAAACCATGCTGTTGCGGGCAAAGAATAAAATTCGACTCGAGGTACTTGGATATCTGTTTATAGACAATATGTTCCATAAGTTTGCATGAAGACGATGTGAGCGAAATGGGTCTGTAGTTTGTAACCACCTGTTTGTTGCCCGACTTGAACAAGGGTATAATTTTAGCCGACTTCCATGACCGAGGTACTGTTGCAGTAGAAATAGATTTTTTTGAAAATGACAGATAGGTAATTTGAACTCCAAAGTGAATATCGGCGAAGAAAAGAATTTAGAATTCCATCAGGGCCAGGGCTTTTCTTACAGTCAAGATTAATTAGTAGATTGAGGACACCAGAAACACTAACATCCAAATCGGATAAAGCTGGGTATATACCTTCAAAGCAAAACTCTGAATCAATGCCGTTATCACGACTGAATACAGATTTCAAATAATCATTAAAACAGTTCGCTATCTTTGTCGGCTCACTTACAGATTCACCTTCAATAGTAAAACTCTGTGATATGTTACATTTTGGAATAATCGATCTCCAAAATTTGGCAGGATTTCATTTCATAAATTCAGACAAAGTTGCATTAAAATATTTGGTTTTAGCTGTTAACATCTTTTCTTTCAAGGTTCTTTTCAGATATTCAAACGAGGTATGAACAACTGATTCTGTGTTATTTTTCGTTGAACGACGTCTCCTCTTCGTTTGCCGCATCAACTGCAGCACCTCTCTTGTAATCCAGGGGTGCGCAAGGTTCTTTTTCTTTCTAGTAACAGGTACAAAATTTGTTGATGAATTTATCTATAAGGGAGTTGAAATATCTAAGCAACGTATTGACATCAGCGTCTAGACTTATGGCACAAAAATCATCAAAATAAAATCTAAGTTCATCAATAATTGATACATCGTCAGCTCTGTTGAAATCAAGGAACGTGACGAATTCAGGGTTCGAACGCTTGATACGAATGTTAAGGCTGACAAGGACTGCTTTGTGATCAGAAATTCCCCTGACCACTTTGCAGTCATAACCTAGGTTTGTGATACTATGGGTTAGAAAAACAAGATCAAGAACAGAATTATCTCTGGTGCACGTTTTGACAACCTGATCTAGGTCGAATGACACAGCCATATCTACTAGAGCATCACAAATGGCCCTATCGCGACAGCCAACCACTAGAGTTTCCCAGTTTATGCCGGGTGCATTAAAATCGCCCAGCAAGACAAGCTTGAAATTTGCCAGATTGTATTTGTGAATGTAGTCATATATGTCAAAGATGGCTTGCAGGCTCGAACCAGGAGCCCGATAAACCGCGCCGATAACAAGAACGAACTTATCAAGCCGCACCTTACACCGTAAAGACTCTGTGTTAGGTAAACTGGGAAGAACAGAAAAGCTAATACCAGACTTAAAAAAAAGCGCAACACCACCACCTCTAGAAGACCTATCGCATCGTACCACGTTGTAATTAGGAGGTGTAAATTTGCAGTCAAGAATGCCATCGTGTAACCAGGGGGGCTAGGTTGGACAAATGTTTCATTTCTCTTAAAAAGAAACGGAAGTGACGATATCGCGTCTGATTGGTTCGAGGCTCAAATGACGAAAGTTCCCTCTTTCGTCATTTGAGCCTCTAGCCAATCAGACGCGATATCATCACTTCCGTCACTTCCGTTTCTTTTTAGGAGAAAATAAACATTTTTCGAACCTAGCCCCCCAGGTTTCAGTAACACACATCACGTGCGGTGAATAAGAAGCTGCAATGCACGAGAACTCTGTAAATTTAGGGACAAGGCTCCGAGCATTAATGTTTAACAAAGACAATGGTTTATTCAGTATTTATCAGTTCGATGTAGTGGCAAGAACCGGGTGAAGATTTTTTATCAGCATTTTATTTGTTGAATCCCACGAGTATCGGTCGTTGTTAACAAGAGCGTGGTCGTAACGTAGACTAGCCTTTGCGCCGTTTCTTCGGAATTCAGCAGTACTAAGTCAAAGTTGTTTTCGAATGTCTCAATACGTGGTGAAAAATCCTCGTTAACAAATATCCGCGTGCCTTTAAGTTTAGAAACATTTTTGAGTATCCGAATCTTGTCACGAAAGTCAATTAATTTAAATATTACAGGTCGTATTTTACCTCCTGCGGGGATACCAAGACGATGACAGCGTTCTATGGCATCGCAAGTTACAGACACTTTTCTGGTCAGCAGTTCAGTTACACTATCCAGTAGTGATGCAGGGGTTTCATTAACAGGCTCTTCTAGACCGTACACGACCAAGTTGTTTCTGCGAGAACGGTTTTCCAAATCATATTTTTTATCTGTAAGTTGACAGACAGCTGTTTCGAGAGCGGCAGTTTTTTTTCCTTATACTGCAACCGTCGGGCGATATCATATATCTGGGACGAGCCAGCTTCGATTGCAACAAGTCGGGATTCGTAGTCGGCCAACTTAGCATCCAGAGCCTCTTGTCTATTTTTGATAGAAGTAACGTCCGCAGCAATTTGTGTTTGGCCAGTTAGTATTTGCTGAAGGAGAGCTAGCGTCTCGGTGCCGGGATTAGATTCAATATCGCCACTGCACAACAAGATGGATGAACATATGCTAAACCATGACAGTATATCAGAACAAATGCCAACCAGTGGGCCCGGTAGCAGCGAAAGAAAGCGATCATCGGACTTAAAACCGTCAGGCAAAGAAACAAACTCTACCTGTAGGGTGAGACAGAAGAAACTCAGTGGCATATTCGTCTCGCTGCCACCAGGCCCACTGAAGAGAAGAGACTGCGTCGATGGCCTTATGGCATCTGTAGCGGAAGTAGGTGTCGCTGAGGTGCTTCCGTAGGAGGGCCAATCCAGTGTTGGCCGATGAAGCACAGGCCGGCCGTCAAAAGATGTCGAATCATCGGATGATGACGGGGGTTCAGGAACGAGAAAGCGGGAACTGGAGAACCCGTGCGGCAACAAATCCGCGGTGACGCGGCATACGGAAGCCGGGGATGACCAGA